TATTCATTCAACGTGGGCTTCTGCTAATTTGGTTTGATTGGTCTGATTTGGATTGCTGCATCGGCATGAGGCTTATCAGGGTGTAGAAACTTTGCAATAATCTAGCAGTTTAACCAGGTAGAGGAATGGGGGAGAAGGTGAAAGGCAAAACCTGTTGCCACATTTGCCGTGCTCATGCCCACTAGAGTCCTTCAGTAACCTTTAAGGTAAGTTAAGCCTTAAAGGTTTGTGTGAACACACCTCCAGCTGGGAATCTATCTTCCTGCCTCATTGGCCGAAAGGTGTTTTACTCATCAACCAATAAGAGAAACATATATACAGAAGGACATCCGTATCAAACTCACACAGTGCAATAGTCAGGGCTCTCAAGACAAAACAGTAGGGTGAGAATATATTACATTATTATATCTCTTCATAATAGTTCTATATATTATCTACCACTATCTGTCTATCTATATATATATGCACATGTGTATGTGGTGTTTATATTATCTATCATGTATGTATGTATGTATGTAATTGTCTATCAATCTTGGGTCTGTCTATTCTATATCAAGAGAGTTAAGCAAGGGCATGATTGTGTGGCCTTGTAAGTCCAAAATCTGCAGGACAAGGCAGGGTGTGTGTGTTCTTATAAGGGCAGAGCACATAGGAAATAAAACAAAGTATAACTGATATCTTACAAAAAAAAATAGAGAGAGAAACCAGTCTCAGCTAAATTTCTAAGTTGGATTTTATCTTACTAACAAAACAAGATAAAGACAATATCAATAAGTTAATCCACAGACTAATATCTTTGTGAACTTAGATATAAACACAATACAATATTAGCAAATTTAATCAGAAATGTGTAAAAGGAATTACATACCATGACTGATAGGATGAACTCTACATGTACACGTTTTGTTCATCATTCAATAATTTGCTCGAAATTTTTCACTGTATTAGGAAGCTAATAAATTATGTACACACACACACATACATTATTGTCATGGAAGACCATTTTGATAAAGTCTAACATCAATCCATGATGAACGCTCCCAGCAACTTAGGAATAGAAACGATCACTTGAGTCTGTGGTAGAGCAGCAACAAAAAATGCCCGTAGCTGATAATATACTTAATGGGTAGATCCTGATTGTTTGCCTTCAAGACCCGGAATAAGATCCAGTACCAAAGACATTGTCCCTCACTGCAGTATTCAATGTACTACTCACAATCCCAGCATCTTCAAAAAGCACAAAAGGAAAACCCCCAGAACTTGGAAAGGAAAGCATAAAACTCCCCCCACATGCAGATGACATTGTCTACACAGGAAATCCCAAGAAAGCCACTCAAACTGCTTAGAAGTGAGTAAAGTACTAACAAACTTGGGGTTAGCACAACAAAATGACACAGAGTGGGTGACTTATACAACAGCAATGTATTTTGTCACAATCTGGAAATTTCAAGTCTAAGGGCAAGGTGCTGGAAAAGTTGGTTTGGGGTGAGAGGTCTCCCCTTGGCTCACAAATGGCTACCTTCCACTGTGTCCCCTCATGACCTTCTCTTTCCTTGTGTGCACTTCTGCTGCTTCTCCTCTTCTAACTAGGACACCTATTGGGTTAGCATCTAACATAAAGACCTCATTTTACCTTAGTCTCCACCTTAGCATCCGTATTTACAAACAGAGTTTCAGCAGGGGCCAGGGCTTCAGTACATAAAGTTTGATGAGATACATAACACTGAGTTTAGTCATGTTTCAGGATGTAATATCAATATACAAAATTAATATTTCTGAATGCTAACAAGAAATACTGAAGACAAACAAAAATAATGCATGTAAGATCTCCCCTCAGAAGCAGGTAAGTAGGTATATTTTAAAAAAACAAATGGAATTCATGTACTGAAAACTCAGATTCTGATGGAAGAAGTAAAAACAGACATAAAAGCATGACAAGATATACTATGTTCATAGATATACAAACTCAACTAAGAAAGAAAGCAAATCTCCCTAAGTTGATACTCTGTTTTGGTGGGACTTTAGTTAAAATTCCAATAGATTTCTGTGTCTATAGTTGATAAAGTGACTTTTAAATCCATATGAAAAAGGCTACATTAGCCAAACTGACTTCAAGAGAATGCCACAATCTTAAGGCTGTGAAGGTACAACAGCTAAGATGGTGCTGTGCTGGCAAATAGAGATGCAGGGACCACCAAACAGAACAAAATGTATAGATGAACACAAATATAAGTAATTTCTACCACAGTGCAAAAAATGAATACATAGAACCCCCATTTCACCATGTACCTTGAATAAGAATGAAAGTTAACTTAGACTATACAAAACATAAGAGGACAACAACCCCAAACCTTCCCAACTTAAAACTGGAGTTCTCAGACATGACGGCAAAACTCATAATCAATAAGAGGAAAGGCTGCTGATTTCAACTTTATCAAACTGGAAAGCTTTTGTGAGGCCGTGTTTCAAGGACACACAGTGCTGGGACCATGACTTACAGATTCATCTTTCATCCCTAAACTCATCTCAGATCACTTTTGTCTCCAGCAGGAATAACCCAGATACCATGCTCTTTTAAGTCTAATTCTTCACCTCTCTCACCAGAGTGGTCCTGATGGAGGCTTGGAAGCATGCTCATGGGAGAGATGGCTAGCTCCCTGTGGGGTGCAGTTCCTGGGTCACACTGTCCTCTGGCTCTTAGGGAGTAGGCTTCTTCCTCCTGCCATTTCTCCCAAATCCATCTTTTTCTTTTTCTTATTTTTGCACATTTGTTTGGGTTTGTTGTTTTGGTTGTTTTATGACACAGGGTTTTGCTATGTAGTTCAGGCTAGTCTTAGCTTGTGTGATCCTTCTGCCACCATGCCAGATCCAACTTGTCTTTTAGGTGTGTCCAACCTGTGACCTGTGAAACACATGAAGCCCAACCTCAAATTGTGAACCTGCTGTAAACATGATGAGGTTTTGTTTTTAACCCTACAATTTTCCTTTTACCTGGACTGTGCAGCATTCGGTTGAATTTTGTAGATAACAGCATCACAGGACAACATCAAAGGTGGGACATACCTGCTGGAGAATTTAAACCCTTCTCAGATTTCCTCTCATGGGGCAGTCCTCAAAAGCTTTACTTTCTTGAAAACCCAATTTTCAACTAAAACAACAGGGACTTGCAGTATGCAAAGTACCATTGGATATTTCTGGACATTTGATACTGACAAGCTACTACAATCATATAAAAAGGAGACTCTATGACTTAGAATATTAAATGCTTTGAGGAGCCCCTTTAGTCCATCCTTGGCAGGGCAGGAGCCCGGCTCTCCTTCTCCTTAATTACTACCCTACCTGACAGATTTTGTTAGGTTGTGTCCTACCACCTGGTCATTTAATCTCTCCAGTTATTGTGTTAGTCAGGGTTCTCTAAAGGAGCACAACTGATAGTATTAGTATATGTATAATATAAAATAGATAAGGGCGATTTATTAGTGTGGCCTCGAGATGTGTCCTGGGTATTACAAAAATGACTGTTTCCTGATGTAAATGTCAAGAATGTGGTAGTGGCTGGATCTGTGAGACTGGCTGTCTCAGCAGTCTTAGTCTGGCGCTGGAGTCCCAGAGGATTCCTAGGAGCTGCTGGTCTTCAGTCTACATTGGAATCCTGAAGAGGTAGGCTCTAATACCAGTGAAGGAGTGCCTCAGCATCAGGATAGATGGATGAACTTGCCAGTGAGAGTGAGGACGAGCAGGTAAAAGGCAAAAGCTTCCTTCTTCCTGGCCTCTGCCACCAGAAAGTGTGGCTCAGATTTGGAGTGAGTCTTCTCATTTCAAATGATCCAGTGAAGAAAAATCCTTCCCAGGTGAGCTGCTTGGGTTTTAGTTGGTCCTACATGTAGTCAGACTGACAACCAAGGTGTCAATTTATTAGGTTATTTATTCTTCCCAAATGATGATAAAAAATTAGTTTTCTACTTTGTTGTCCAATGTGTTAAAACAGTTCATTCATGAAATTACTCATCCAAATGAACTTATTCAATATGTATTTTACTCACCCCATATCAACTGAAATGATGTTTGAGGAAGAAAATATTTTCACAAGTCATTTCCTTGAAAATACTGACTACCAAAGGAAGACATACTCTGGTTATACTTCTAAGTGGTAGATTTAAGGAGCTAATGAAGACCAGGCTGAATTGGTTTGTCCTGATTGGTTTGCTGCAGGGTTGGGAGGTTAGAGATAAAGAGGTTTTGGGTTTTGTCATATTTTTAACAATGTACTTCATGGATGGAGCTAGGTCTTTCCTTGTATAAGTTCTCTTAATATAGTTGCTGAAAACTCTCAGAATAGCAGCAAAGAACTTTCTTTGGAAGGCCGTTGGCCCCATTGTGTTAGCATTTTCTTGCAAGAAAATAGCAAATGATGAATGAGAGAGACTTTCAGATGATTTGTACATTGAATGAAAACACTGATTTTGCCTTGCCCTGGATGAAGTTGGACTTGGTTTTGTAACCCGTACTGAGAGTGTTGCCAGGTAAGCCCACCAGAGACCACCACACAGACACAGACACTCTTAAAGTCATCAAGAAAGTCTTTATTGCCAGCTGGGGGACTTGCCCAAATCATGCAGCCCTGAGCCTTACAGACCTTTACTTGCCATGCACAAAACCCACATCCTGGTTGCCACACTTCAGTTATCAAGAATCAGAACTACAGAGGCTAAAAAGCAAAATTAGTTCATTTACGGGCTTTCTGGAACTATAGACCAGATCTCTGATAGATTAGATATTTGTTCCCATTTTGGGAGGTGTTGAAACCCATGTGCTAGATTTTAAGGCCAGAATGGTGCCTCTAACAAGGCATCAGTTGTGCTAAGGTCTGGGGGCTGTTACAATAGAACTGATCAGAACTTAGCTCATTCAAATCCCAAGGACAGGACCTGGCACAACAGACTTGGTAAGAAACAATTTCCTATTTTCCCTCACATAGCTCATATTTCTTCATCTTTCAGGGCAGACTAGCTCTACAGCTCTAAGATACAAGTGGACTGCCAACTGCTGGATCATTTGGACCAAGGGATATTTCCACTTAGGGAGAGAGGGAAGCTGCCTCTGAGAGGGATGGGAAGGTAGCTATTGCCCGTGTGCTACAACAAAGAACAGTTGGCTGTGGTGGTGTAAGGTTGCAATCCGAGAGTTTAGGAGACTGATGGAGTGTCCCAAGGTTGAGGTCAGTCTGGTATACCTGGTGAGAACATACCTCCTAAAAGGGGGAGGGGCTTGGGAAAGCATTTGGTCTCTGGAGAGAGTTCACATTCCCACTCCATTTTCTGTGAGTCTCCACAGAGCAGCTCAGAAGGACCCTCCCCAACAGCATAGTGAGGTCGCATGGATCCCTGAGGTCCCCAAATTCTCCTTGTCTGTGCCCGTCTCTGTAAATTTGCATAGTCTGTTCCTCTATCAACAGGTAGATGAGCCCATAGCAGATCAAACACTGAAGAAGAAAATATACATGACTCAAGGAAGACATAGAAACCTGTCTCGAATACCAGAAAGGGAGACAAGACTTCTAGAAACAGATAGTGACTGCTGAGACACTGCAGGCAGTCTAGAACATGCAAATGCAGTCCCAAAGATGAAGAGGAGGAGGAAAAGGGGGAACATATAGATGAAGAAGTATCCCCCCAGCCCCATATCTTTTTTTTTAACATATGAGCCCAGGACCTGGAGAGATGACTCTGTAGTTAGGAGCACTTGAATAAGACTGGGTTCAATTCCTAGTGTTTACATGGTACTCAGAACAACCTATAAGTCCAGTTCTAGGGGTTTTGACACACTCCTCTGACCTGCATAGGCACCAGGTACACACCACACACACACACACACACACACACACACAGGTACGTGTACTACAAAGTTCCTCAGAGTTCCCTCACACAAACTCATATACACAGGCCCATACAAATAATATTGTAATCAAATGTCTGAAACCTACTCATAAAGAACTTATATTCTCAGCAACCAGACAAAATGGACAATTTAACTACAAAGACATGAAGATGATTGTCTTAGTTAGAGTTTTATTGCCGTGAAGAGACTCCATGACCACACCAACTCTTATAAAGGAAAACATCTAACTGGGGCTGGCTTACAGTTTCAGAGGGTTAGTTCATTATCATCATGACAGAAAGCAAGGCAGCATGCAGGCAGACATGGTGCTGGAGAGGCAGCTTAGAGTTCTATGTCTTGATCCACAGGCAACAGGAAGCAAACTGTCCTCACTGGACACAGCTTGAGCATATATAAGACCTCAAAGACCACCCCCACAATGACACACTTCCTCCAATAACAACACACATACTTCCACAAGGCCACACCTCCTAATAGTGTCTCTCCCTATAGGTCAAGCATTTAAATATATGAGTCTATAGGAGCTATACCTATTCAAACCACCATGATGATAATGACTGTAGATTTCTAGGATGAACCCGTAAACAAACAAAACAGAAGCAAATGAAGTGAAATTAAATAATAGAATAACCATCAAAATTAAGACAACTGGAAGCACTCTAAGACAATCAAGAGCCCAAGTAATTCTTCACCAACACAGCTGTACCAGGAGCTGGAGCAAGTGAAGTTTTTCAAGGGAAGGAAAATGACACCAGGTAGGAACTTGGATTTATACAAAGAAATCAGAAGAGACTGAAGAATGCAGAAGCATATGACATACTTTAAAATATTCTTGGAGATAGTTGATTGTTTAAAATTAATAATAATGTGTTATGGGATGATAAGATTTGTGGAAATACATAACAAAAGTGTGATGGATGAAAAATTGAGGCATACTTCTGTAGGAGGCATGGAGGTCTTTGTGCTCACAGATAAGCAGTAGGGGAACTGGAATGTTGAATGCATGTGATTGTCATGTCAAGGGAAGGAATTCAATACCAGTTACCTGCTCAGAAGTTTGGGATCAGACATGCTTACTGGCCTGGTGACCTTCCCTCTGTTTTTCTTAGTCAGTCTGTAGGATCTATCTTTATGGACTTCACAAAGAATTTTGATATAGTCACATCTGGTCTATATTTATCTTTCTTCTGTAAAGAGATTATGCTTTGTTGTGCATGTGTGATTAAGTTAATTATCACCAAAATAGTTTTTGCCAAATTTTGTTGTGCTTAAATATGCCGAAAATAAACTACTTGAGGTCAGACTCTTGAAGTTTGAACCAACATTGGCTACTGAGTCCTACTGAACCAAATGCCTTCTTGTCTCCCAACAGTCATCACTCTGCTGGCTGTGGAGGTCATAGAGACCCTGGCATACTTCTACAATATGTAGAGATAAGCTGTGAATTAAAGGCAGATGGTAATTAAAGATAAATATGGCAAAATCTAAAATAAGTTCACACACAACCCGAACCAAGACAGTAGTCCAATCATAGGGGAACCGTTTGGAACAAAAAGGAAGACATTATTGGGGCTTGAAAGATTGCTTAGGTGCTAGTTAAGTACATGTACAGATCACCCGTGTAGAACAGCCAACAACTATCTGTAACTCCAGCTCCAGGTATTCAACACACACACACCAGATAGATGCACTCTCTTATTTAGGGTTTGTGTTGCTGAGATAAAATACCATGGCCAAAAGGCAAGTTGGAGAGTGTGATGGTTTAAATAAAAATCTCCCACATAAGTCCATAGGCATTATTAGGAGGTGTGGCCTTGATGGAGCAGGTGTGGCTTTGTTTGAGGAAGTGTGGTGCTAGCGTGTGGGCTTTGAGGTCTCAAAAGAGCAAACCATGCCCAGTGCAGCAGTCTCTTCCTGCTGCCTGTGGATCCAGATGTAGAACTGCCAGCTCCTGCTCCAGCACCACGTCTGTTTGCATGCAGCTGTGCTTTCCGCCATGATGGTAATGGACTAAGCCTCTGAAACTGTAACCCAGCCCTAATTAAATGTTTTCCTTTATAAGAGTTGCTGTGGTCAGGGGTCTCTTCACAGTAATAGAAACCCTAACTAAGACAGGGAGGAAAGAGTTTATTTGGCTTAAACTTCCATATTGCTGTTCATCTTCAAAGGAAGTCAGAACAAGAATTCAAACAGAGCAGGAACCTGGAGAGAAGGGCTGATGCAGATAGAAGCCATGGAGGGGTGCTGCATGGCTTCTATCTGCTCAACCTGCTTCTTATAGACCCCAGGACCACTAGTCTAACGGTGGTACCACCTAGAATGAGCTAGGCCCTCCTCCCATTAATTACTAATTAAGAAAATGCCCTATAGGCTTGTCTACAGCCTGATCTTACAGGACCCTTTTCTTAATTGAGGTTTCTTTCTCTCAGATGACTTTAGCTTGTGTCATGTTGATATAAAATTATCCAGCACATGCACATAGATACAGATTTTTTAAAATCTAAATTCGAAGGAGAAATAAGATACATGAACAAGGTAGAAATGGAAACTGCATTTTCTTTGAGTATGGCCTTGGAGCCCAGGGCCATGCAAATGGAAGGAAGGCAAGCACTCTACCACTGAGCTATTTATCTAGGTCTTGAAAAAAAATTAGAAAAGAACAAGATGACAAGCTCAAGTCCAACCTTATTAATAAGTATATCAAATGTACATAATCCATAGTCAGCCAACTCTAAGACACTAGCCATTAACCACACAGGGCTATTTACACTGATTTAAAATTGAACAAAATCAATTTGGTGCCTCTATGACTCTAGGCATAGTTCAAGTGCTTAGTAACCACTGTGTTATAACATTCTTAGTGCTTCTATTGTCACAGAGAGGCGTGCTGAGAGGGGTTAGCCTAAATCTTCAGTTAAAAACAAACAGTATAAGAGTAGTAAAGAAGCAGGGACTATATAGACACACAAATGTGTCAGAGCGGTGTATCCAAACACAGAAAAAAGAGAGTAAAAACTAAAGGATGGAAAAGTGCTTTCTGTAAGAAAGTTTGAGTTAGGGCTATTAGCAAGCAGATCCGTGAACATGGTAAATAACCAACAATAACGAGGAATATTTCAAAAAATGGTAAATGAATCCAGACGGTATAACAATGCCAAAAGTGTTGTGTGCTGAGCAATGGTTTTGAAACCCACAGAGCCATCACCAGATTCATCCTCTGGCATGAAACAACATAAAAAGCTGAAAGAAAGACATGGAATGGTGGTTTTCACGCACTGGACTTCGTGTAGTGTGGGTCAGTAATTTCCAAGGAGCAGAAAGCGGTGAGACAAATCCTATAATTGACCCTTCAACTCTCTGAAAAGAAGAGTGAGGCCTAGCCAGGGATACGGAACATGAGGCCAACCTGGTGAGGTCCTGAGCATGGAGATGGTGTGGGTGGCCCTGGGAGATGAGGTGGTTTGGGATGACAGGGCAGACTGCCAGAGAAGTGTACTGAACAGAGAACAGCTGCTCATCTATTACCAAGGGACGGCTGGTATGCAAAGTGTGAGCTGGGCTGGTATGCAAAGTGTGAGGCTGTAGAAAGAGCCCCGCAACATCCAGGAGGGTACCACAAGGCCAGGAAAACCTCCTGTATGAGAGAGGATTGGGGGGAAGAGGCTTACCTTCACAGTGAGCAGAAACTGGCATAGCATGACTTCACATATGTCAAAACTCTGCTACACATCAACAGGCACAAGTTATTGTACATTAATTACATTTAAAAGATGCCCTTTAAAGCATGAAAAAATTGTGCATCTTTGTGCTAATATATTCAACAACATAGATAAAAGAACAAACTCCTTGAAAAACATAAATAGCAAAATTATCTCAAGAAGCCACCAACAACTGAAGTATCCTATATAGCCAAGAAATTAAATCCCCAATTACAGCATCCTCACCGAGAAAATTATAGGTACAGATGACATCCTGGCAATTTTTTTTCAGAAACTTGAAAGGATGAAATAACACCAATCCTACTCAGATGTTTTTAGAACTTAGAGGAAGGAACAATTTCTTCTTGGCTTGTTCCATTCAGCCAGCATTATTATTCTGATGCTGAAACCCGATGGAGACATCACAGGAAAGAAAGTTACAAATCCATATCCCTTGTGAGAATGATTCAAAATGCCTTCAGGAATTTGAGAAAAATCAACCTCATCAATTATGAAAATAATAACACACTACAGCCAACTGGCTTCCATCGGGAATGTAGCATCTGCTCAACACTGGAGAGCTCATCGGTGTAACTTACTAAATTAACAAAGTGAAAAATAAGGGAAGAGAAAAAGGAAAATCATGGGTCGAAGCTAAAACCCCTCTAAAGAGAAGTCTCTCTGCAGACTGGATTAGAAGTTTCTCAAATTGATAGTTTGTTTTTAAAGGCACCTCTGTGGCTAAGAAATGAATTGGTGGTTAAGAGCACAAACTAAAACAGAAAGTCTTCTGCACTGCAAAGGGACAGGAGAAAGGTATGCTGTGGGATGACTGGACATACTTATAGCCATTTATCTAACAGGAAGTCATCCAAAATATATAAGAAACTCATACTGCATAACAAAAAACAATGAAAAAGAGGAGAGAACTTGGTTTGAGTTTTCTTCAAAGAAGATATACAAACAATACAACAGGAATAGATAAAGGTGCCAAGCAGCTCTGATTACCAGGGGAATGCAAAATGGAGCCACAACAAAATATTACTCCACATCTATTATATGCATGTAAAATGTGGTGTATATATGCATAAAAGTGTTCATGCATGCATGTGCACATGTGTGTACATGCCTATGTGTATGTCTGTGTGTAATGTCTGTGTACGTGTGTGTGTAAGGCTGTGAAGAAATTGGAATCTATTAGTGGTAAAGTAAAATGGTGTAGCCACTGTGGAAAGGAGTATATCAGTTCCTCAAAAAACTAAAATTAGGACTGGGGAGTTGGCATAGAGGACCCAGGTTCAATTCCCAGAACCCACACAGATGCTGACAACTATCTGTAGCTCCAGAGTCAGGGGATATGATGTCCTCTTCTGGCTCCTGCAGGCACAGAACATACATGTGGTGCACATAATCGTGTAAAGGCAAACCACCCATACGTATAAAATAAAAGTCCTCTAAAAATAAAACTAGAATTAATTCATGGAATTAAAATATAATCTGCATATTTAACCAAGAATGTCAGGGCCTAATGAGATGGCTCAGACATTAAAACTTGCTTTGTAAGCCTAAGGATAGATTTTGGATCGCAAAACCCATAAACTTTCCAAGTAGGACTGGATACCCACCTGCAACTCCAGCCCTGGAAAGCTGAGACAGGGCTCCAGAACAAACTGTTGGAGTCTAGCCCTATCAGCTAGTTATGGGTTGGGCTGGGATACTCTGCCTGTCTTAGCTACCCTTCAATTGCTGGGACAAAACACCACAACCAAAGCAAAGAAAGCATTTTATTTGGGGTTTAAGATTCCAGTAGGTTAGAGTCCATAACCATTATGGTGGGGAGCATGGCAGAGGTGAACATCAATCCTTATTATTCTCCACCTCATTTTTTGAGACAGTGTCTCTTACTGAACCGGTATCTCAATGTTTTGGCTAGACTAGCTGGCCAGAGAGTCCTTAGTCTGCTTGCCTCAGTGGTCTTCAGTACTAAGGTTACAGACAGGAGCCACCTGCTTTTCCACGAGTTCTGGTCATGTAAACTAAGGTCCTAATGATTGCACAGCAAGCACTTTAATTCACCGGCTAAGCCATTTTCCAACTCCGTTATAAAACTTTCTTTGAGACAGGGTTTCTATGTAGTAGCTTTGGAGACTGTCCTGGAATTTGCTTTGTAGACCAGGCTGGCCTTGAACTCACAGAGATCTGCCTTCCTCTGCCTCCTGAGTACTGGAATTAAAGGCATGGTGGTGCATGCCTTTATGCATTTTTAAAAAGGATTTTATTATTTATTTTTATTTTATGTGTTTGAGGGTTGTGTCTGCATGCATGCAAGGGCACCATGAACATGCAGTGTCCAAGGAGATCAGAAGGGACATCAGATAGCTGGGACGGTAGTTACAAACCTTTGTGAGCCACATTGAGACTGGGAAATGAGCCTGGGTTGTCTGTAAGAGCAGTGAGTTCTAACTGCTGAACCATCTTTCCAAACTTCCTCCTCCTCCATTAATTAATGGTTGTAATTAATAACATTGATTAATGTTAATTGGTATTAATATTAATCAATATTAGCAATATTATATTAATAATATCAATATTTTTAAATAGAAGATCTTCCAAGGGGCTGTTTTCCCAACCTTCTCTTTTACTCTACCTTGACAGAGTATGTGTGGCTGAACCATGCAACCCTCTGACCTGTTCCTACTGCACTGTTCACAATGCATATCTCAACTGTGGGTCTCTTGTCATGATAACTTTAAGCCTCTGCGCACAGGAAGTAATGCCAACCTGGAGGCCGTTGCCTCCCTAGATGACCTGGGGCGGATAGTGGATATTCATGGAAAGAGTAGAATGCTACCTAGTTCTGCTGCTGTTATGGGGCTAGTCAGACTTAGCCAAGCTACTTTGCAATCTCCATAGCATCCCTCAGTGGAGACCCCACATTCCACCATGGCTGAATTTTTAGACATACTTCCAGGCTTAGCTCATTCTGATGGACAACTGTAGCTAAATCTATAGTATCAGCAGTGTCTCAACTCACCCCTCTCTGGGCACCCTTGTCTTGACTCTGAACCTAGATCAAGAACATCTGGACTGAGTGTCACTTCACATCTCAATCCTAGGAGTTCAAGAAGAGGTCTTCCAAGCTGCCCCAGGAAAAATCAAGGCCCATAGTGTGGAGATTTCAGTGAGGCTCTGGGACCGGACTGGCGGGAGGGCTTCTCCCAACAGTGTGGTGATATCTTGTTTGGACAAATAAAGCATGTTTGAAGATCAGAGGGTATAGCTTGGCACTACCTAACCATTGAGGTCTTTACAGACAGACAGGAAGTGAGATGGCTGGGTGGAGAAAGGCATACAGGCAGGAGGAAACAGGAACTCAGTTGCTTTTCTCTTGGGAAGCTAATGAGGTAAAGGGGGCTGTGGTTTGCTCCTTCTTCTCTCTAATCTCTCAGCATATGTGACTCCAGGCTTTTATTATTAAGATCCATTAGAACTCGTGTTATAACATAGTCCACTGGTTGTAACTACTACTGCATTGTCATTACTTGTGATGTAGCTGACTCTCCAGAAAGTGGAGATCATGTTTTAAGTATTTTAAAAACATCTCTTAAATGACTTATTTTTATTTTATATGTGTGAGTTATGTGCATATATGTATGTGTACCAGGTATGTTCAATGCCCTCAGGAGCCAAAATTGAACTCCCTAGAATCGGGTTACAAATGGCTGTGAGCTGACATGTGGGTGCCAGAAATTGAACCCTGGCCCTCTGCAGAGCAGCAAGTACTCAACTGCAGAAGCATTTCAACAGCCAATCTTTTAAGTCTTTTAATGCATGTCCCACTCATTCAAACATTTTACTGCTCGGTGGCTGCTGAACTAGATGTATCTTTAGTCCAGTTTGTGGAGTACCAAGAAAGCTTTCGGTGACAGTGCAGCTGCTGGTCTCTGAGGTGGGCAAGGCAGTTAATAATGACTACTAACTTCACAGCGTCTGGAATCACACAGGAGATATATGCTTCCAGGCTCACTGTAAGGGGCTACCTTAATTAGGTCTAGCCATACCTATGAGGAATTATCTTGATTGGCTTAATTAAGATGGGGTAACCTGCCCACTGTGGGCGGCAGCATTTTCTGGGCTCCATAAAAGGAGAAACTAGCCTAGCGGCATTTGTGACTCTCTATTTCTTGATTGTGGGTAAAATGTGACTAACTGCCTTAAGCTCCTGTCACTAGGACCCATGTCATGATGGAATGAAACCTGAACTATGAGCCAAAATAACAAATTTCTCCTTGAGTTGCTTTGTCGGGATTCAGGTGCGAGTCAAAGTTGCTGCCCTCAGATGGCTCAAGGGTTTTTGCTGGCATATTCAAGTTGAACTCACAACTAAATAAAACCGGTGAGTTTTGAGAATGAAGAGGAATGACTTGCAGTAGAGGCTTCTGGTGGCTTTCTGAAAACCCTTCCCTTCTCTAATAATGAAGCCTAAATTTTTACTAGTGCACATTATCGCCAATCTCAAAGACTATTTCTTCCCATGCTCTTTAACACTGGATAGACCCATATGATTAAATTTTGGCAAGGAAATAAAAGCAACAACAACAAAAGTGTCAATTCTTAAGTTTCCCGAAAGGTGGCAAGCACATAACCCCCCCTTTTAAATCTGTCCCACCTGCTACCTGGGACAAAGATAGTATGTAAAATTTCAGCAGTCTTCGTGGACTAAGAAGTTAAATACCAAACACTAGAGATGGTAGATTGTGTACCGGAAGGAGACTTATTTCTGATAATTCTTAAGAGTCTCATAACACTCCTCATCAGACCAAATCTAGACTTCTTCAGTGTTGGAGGAAATTGAGCCACCAATTTGTTTTAGCCGTTATTATTTTAGTTCTGCAAAAAGACAGCACTTACTCAGGAATCGTTCCTTAATTCCATTGTGAAGATTTTGTTTTCCCGTTGACCTAAGAATTGAATGTTTCCAGGTTAAATGTAATTACAGAGGCTGTGGTCAGAGCCCTGGAGGTGTTTGGCAGACTAAACTGTGTGTTATTGAGGGAAAACCATCTGTAGATGGCAGGAGACAAGAGTGAGACCCACGTTGGGGATCTTGTTGCCTGACTGTCACAGCTAATGCCATTCTGTCAGCCTGAGGATACAAACCCCTCTTTCCCCAAACTTTCAGGTCCTACACATCACCCACACCCATTCTCTTTTATCCTTTTCCTCAGTCCACACAGCCACCGCCTAGTGCTCCCCTCTCTGCCCTTGCCAGTGCTCCATGCTCTTCTCTGCCTCAGGGACTTTGTACTCACAGCCTGGAATGTTCTTCCCTTGGTCCTTCACCTGACTGTTTCTTTGTTGTTCAGAACTCCAGCTGACACAGCACCTTTGGGGAAAGGCTTCCCTGCTGTGTAAGCTAGCCTGTGGGGTGAGGTCTAGTGTGTGTGTGTGTGTGTGTGTGTGTGTGTGTGTGTGTGTGTGTGTGTGTGTGTGTGTGTGAATCCTCTCTCTTTCCTTACCACACCGGAAGGAAAATTCAGCATGGCATGGGATTTGCCTTGCTCGACAGTGTTTCCTAACCCTCATATGATGTCTGCCCGCTGTCAGACAGAACACAAGTCTGGGTGGGAAAGTCTTCCCCCCAGGCAGTGACCACTCTGCCTTCACTGACCCCCACCTGACTTTCTGTTTTAAAGTTTGTTTGTTTGTTTTATTCCCCCTCTCAAAAACAGTCTTATGTGTAGGTAGGAGTCATTTTCTTCAGGTCTGATTTGCATAAAGCCATGGTTCTGTAATCCCTGCTGATATCCTTGCCCTACTGCTTGGAACTGTCATAAATTATTGAAACATCAGTAACAGTCATCTTCGAGGGTTCCTGCCTGAGCAGAGCTTCCAAAGCATGCAGGATGCATGGGACAAGATGCATGTGTGTGATGATTCCTTTCTTCCTTACAGTTTTGCATTCTAGGGGCTTGCGATCATAATCAACACACGAGATAATGGCTCTATACGCCTGTGGCTTGTCGGCTTGGTGATGCTCAGGTGCCAGCAACTCAACCTCCCTCTTCCCAATTCTGCCATGTCTAGAGTTCCCCCAGACAACCCAGACCATCTAAGCCCTGGGAAAGGTGGTTGTGTGTATGGGTGGGGGTGCCAATGTACTTTCAACTCTGCTCTCACCCTATTGGCTGTAACCTAGTCACATAGTCAGGACAGGCTACAGAGGAGTC